GGACGTAACATATGGCGCAGCTGATGGGAGACGGTTATATTCTCGGCCGCCGAGGGCGCAACCCAAGGCGCAACCGATAGAGGACGGTTTTATTCTCGGCCGCCGAGGACGTAACATATGGCGCAACCGATGAGAACGGTTTTATTCTCGGCCGCCGAGGGCGCAACCCAAGGCGCAAGCGATAAAGGACGGTTTTATCATCGGCCGCCGAAGACGTAACATATGGCGCAACCAATATGAGTCGTTTTTATTCTCGGCCACCGAGGGCGCATCCTATAGCGCAACCGATGGGAGAAGGTTATATTCTCGGCCGCCGGGGGCGCAACCTATGGCACAACCGACAGAAGACGTCTGTTTCCTCGGCCGCCGAGGGCGCACCCTATAGCGCATCCGATCGGAGACGGTTTTATTCTCAGCCGCCGAGGGCGCAATCTATGGCGCAACCTACGGCACAACCTAGGTGCCAGGAGAAGGAGCATGAGCAGGAGGAGGACGAGGAGAAACGAGGGCAAGGTCTCAGACGAGGACGACGAGGAGGAGCTGGAGCAGGAGGAAGATGAGGATGAGGTGGAGGACGAGGAGGAAGACGACGACGACGATCAGGCTGGGAAGGATGACGGGGAGGAATACAAGTAGTACGTGGGCAGTCGAGTGCGTGCGGGGCTGCGCCCGATTTATGCTCGCCGTTTGGGCTGGCGGTGGGGCCCAAGCGGCGAACTGTCTCGTGATTATATAGCGTCGCCACGCCCTCGACACTCAGGAATACCGCTCCCGCTTTGGCCTTCCTCACGGTTCATTTGGGAATCGCGTTATCTCTCGAGACCTCCTCGCAACACTTCGCGCACGACTGACGCTTCAGCGACGCCCCGCTCGACGCGGCCGCCTGGGCTTGCCCGCCCGACTCGCCCGTTAGAGTCCGCCGGCCCGACCCGCTCGTGTGGTTCTGCCGTTTTGTTCCCCCGCCTCCGAACCCCCTCCCGCCAATCTTTCTCGTGCTCAATGTGTGTCCCTCACCCTTGTCCCTCCTCTCCCTGCTCCTTGTGTCCTGTTTGAAAAAACCGCTACATACGCGTGGCAGGTAAGGACGATGCCGCTCCATAGAGCGTGCGATCGAATGAGAAGAGGGTTGGTTTCGAGCGTTTGGGGTACACATGCTGAATGACACGCGAGTAGATAGGAGCGAACAGCAGTAGAAGTATTGCTCTTGACTGTGAACTGCGAATCAAGGTTTATTGTAAGACCCCTGCATCTGCCTTGGCGCTCTCGCCTCGGCGCCAGCTGCATTGCATTTGAAAATGAGGCTCACGCTCAAGCGTTGCGGGGATGCGCCAACAACTGTCTTCCAACGACAACAACACCAACAACATCAACACCAACAACAGCGACCTCAACAACAATACCGACGACGACGACAACAACACCACCAGCAACAACACCAGCAACAACACCACCATCAACGATAACAGCACCAACAACACCAACATCAACAGCACCACCACCAACAACAACCACAACACCGCTCTCAAGCGGCACTGTCCTGCAGCTTCCTGCGAGAGGCCCTGGCCAGAGAGGGCTCAAACCTCAGGAAACAAATCTCGCCTCAGACATCCTCGCAATTCATCACCACAAAAGGGGTCCTTCAGAGCAACATAGCCGCTACTCTTGCGTATGCCAGGACGGCTCTTTCGCCTGAGACTCCCCTGCCATTTAACACCGCAAGGGGGTCCTCGAGAACATTTGTGTTGCTACTCACGGACGCCCCAACGGCAATGTCATCTGGGACCTTCCCGCAATTGAGCATCGTTTAACCGATCCCTGCCCCCACGGGCGTGGCCTGGGCCACGCTGGCCGATCTACCCCCCCAGGAGGGGGATATAGGCTGCTCCCTTCGAGTTTCGAGGGACACATCCCCAACTGGGGTGGTGGGATGGTGGGGGTCGGGATGGGGATGGGGATTAGGATCGGGGATAGGTCAAACCAGACGAGCGCGTTCCACTACTCGCAAATTAGCTGTTCGCAAATGGCCTGGATCCGCCGCGGGGGGATCTACCATACATTCCATCGAAGCAGACATGTGTGTTTCGGACGTTTGCGAGAAGACACTTTGCGAGTAGTGGAACGCGTTCGGCGATAAACGATACTGAACAATCCAGCAACGCAGGGGAACCCGTCAGCGCAATATTGCCGCTGCTTGCGGAGGCCCGCAACGGTCTCGGGACGCTCGAGGAATCTCCGTCCGGACGCGCGCTTCTTCGGCCCTCCCGCTCCAGGAGGAAGGAGGAGCAGGAGGAAGAGGAGGAGGAGAAGCAGGAGGAGCAGGAGCAGGACTAGGAGGACCAGGAGGAGGAGGAGGAGGAGGATGAGGAGGCCCGACGAGACACTCCTGGATTGGGGCATGTTTGTTCGGGGGGAGCGCCGTTTCGGCCCCTTCTCCGCTTCCCGGGCGCCCCAGGACACGCGCTCTCCTGCACCGGGATGGGCGTCCGTGGAGCGCCGTTCGCCCCCCCCCCCCGCCCCGCCCCCAGGAGCACCTGGAGGCACGCTCCTGCATTGGGATGCGTGCTCGCGGAGTGCTCCTGGGCCCCCCGATGAGGCTTCGCCCGCATCGGCTTCACTCCCGTGAGCGTTACCGTCCCTCCCCCGGGGCTCGAACCCTTCGTGTGTTCCGTATGTTCCGTTCGGCTGCCCCTCTCTTTGGGCGCGGGCCCTTGCCGAATGTGCTGTAAATTCTTCTAGTTTGGCCCTCGACTGGGGCTCGAATCCTTCGTATATTACTTCTGTTCCTGTATAGTGGCCCTCCCCTGGGGATCGAACCTTTGGTGTGTTACGCATGTTCCTCTAGATTGCCCCTCCCCTGTGGCTCGAATCCAAGGTAGTTCGAACCATTACCGCTCTCCCAAACCCGATTGTGCTGTATTAGTTGTGCGAGCTGGAAGCGGTAAATCGACTCGGGAGAGCTGTCGGCCCAACCTGATTGGGCGGGGGATCTGGGTGCGGGAATATCGCCTCCTCTGGTTATTGAATTCCTCCCAGAGGAGGTGGCATCATGATGGATGCATGCGGCATGCAGAAGCATGGCGGCGGATGAGGTTATTGCTGTTGTTAGTGTTGGTGTTGTTGTTGTTGGTGGTGGTGGTGTGGTTGTTCGCTGCTGCTCATTATTGTTTGTCGTCGCCGACGCCCCCTCCACCCACCCTGCGACCCACTCGTGACACACACTTCGCGGCCCACCCGCGATCAACCAGTGTTGTCAGGACGAAAAAATCGGCGCCTGCGGCGGTCTTGTCGGCAACGCGTAAAAAGAAAAACGGCGCCTGCGGTGGGCTTCTGCAGAGCGTGGGGAGTGCAGACGATCCCCCCCTGACGCGTATCTGCAGTTGCGGGGTTCTGAATATACATACATGTGAATGTGTATATACATATGTATATATATATATATATATATACACTCATGCATCTGCGTGCATGTTCAAAACCCAACAACCGACGCTGCTGGGCTACCTTTTGCCTGCAATGGGCACCGTCCGCGGCAACACCGACAGCGAGCTGTGCGTAGCATGGACTGGAACTGCAATCGGTACTCGTCCCCTCCCTTTCCGTACCGGTCTCGATCGTGCCCACTGATTGGCCCCCGAAGGACAACGAAGCCTGCACGGATGCTGATGCGCTTTGTGTGCCAAGCGCATGTGGCGTTCGCCATCCAGGGGCTCTTCAGCCTGAATGGCATTGCGCAGAAGCATCGGATGAACGTCATTCGCATGTACTGTTTTCGCAAGGTCCAGACACTACCCTCCCTGCCACTGCACGGCTTGAGAGGCTCGGTAACATCGTATCAAGATCAAGTACGGTCGCACAGTCAGAGCCATGTGCACTGACGCTGTCCGCCCGAGAGCCTCTCTTAGAAGACGATGGTCATAGAAAACTACCTCACGCAGACCACATGCCCTCCCCCCTTGTCCCCCTCCCTGGAGGTCAACAACATCCACCGTGAGGCCTCGAAAGCCTCCTACATTGGGGTCGGAGTAGACGCGGTCAGAGGATCGCGCCGCGTCGCCGATGCATCGGCGATGCATCGGCAATGTCTCGGCGGTGCATCGGCGATGCGCCAGCGATGCATCGTCGACGTCGGCGATGAATCGGCGACGTCGACGTGAAGCAAATCGGGCTGCACATCGAGCCGCATTGGCGATGCATCGGAGATGCGGCGCGATCCTCCAGTCCCGTCTACTCCGACCCCATCTAGGAGGGCTAAAGCCTCAGCTTGCCCGTTGCGAACGCCGACGTCCCAAGTTCTCATGACAGGCGCAAGGAGGCACCCAAAGAGGGCCCCACGACGGTTGAAGGGCAGCCTCACATCCAGCCCAAGACGCTCCGCTCCCAGGACGGCCTAATAGGCGCCCAAGACGCCCCAGGACCCCAAAGAGGACTCCGTAACGTATCTAATGAAGCCGTTGTCGCGTTCTCGCCTTTTCCGGCTTCCGAACGCCGCAGAGCGGCGGAACACGCCGCCAAGATAGCCACCACGGCCCACGACGGCCCAAGACGGCCTGGAGGTCCGTCAATGACGACGACGACGACGACGACGAGGCGCCCGAGAAAAAGAGCTCGAAGAGACCCCGCGAGCCCTCCCCTCCAAGCCGGTTCCTCCGCCTCCGCCTCCTCCTCCTCCGCCTCCTCCTCCTCAAGCCTCCAGTACAAAGCCATGAGGTCCCAACGAGGCCCCCGGACGCCCCCCAGAGGCTCCACAGGAGCTTCCAAAAGCAGCGCCGAGCGGGCTCCAAGAGTGCCTCCAAAGGCTTCAGACTTCCCCTGAATCTTAACACATCCAGTCCTTGGACCCTCGCCAAACACAAGCAATGAGGCTCCGACGTAAAGCTAGTGAACACGATGACAGCCTTTCTTGCTCTGGGGGTCGGCGGAATGGCGAAAGCCTCTCAAGTGCGGGGTGACTGATGGCGACGGAGGAGCGATCACTGCGAAGCACCATCATGATCACGCATTCACGCCAAGCTTGCCTCTGCAAGCGAAGACAAGAACGCACCTTCAGAGGCGGGAGTCGAATACTGAAGAAGGGAAAGGCGATGCGCACATGCCTCCGACGGCACAGACTCCTCCGTGTGGTCGTCCTCTCCGAGCAGCCCTCCGATCGGAAGCCCTGCGCGCCCTAGGTGCTTGACGTAAAAATTCAGATAATGCTGGCCCTGCAGAGTTCTCCCGTGCGCGACTTTTGCCTCGATCATCCCCAGCTTGAGCCACCTCGCGTGCTCGCGGGGTGCACCGTGAGCTCTGAAATGCAAACCAGCCGTCTGACCGCCAGGGACCCAGGACCCTGATATGTTCAGCTCCTGGAAGTACATGTCCGCACAGTTGCCACCCAGTCGACGCACCAGGGCATCGACGCGAAGCAGCACGTTCCCAGCACGCGGTCTCCGTGGGATGCGGATCAACACGTGCTTCCCAGGCTTCATCAGGTCAAAACGCTCGCCGTGGATGTTCTGCAGGTGCGGGTCGCCGACTGCAGCCGCAGATCCTCTGGGCGCCAGGCTGGACGTTGGGGCCACGTTGGTCATCTCGGTGGAGCTCGGCAGATCTGAAGCTGCTGGAGCCGTCTCATCCCTTGCCAATGCGAGATTAGCACTGTTCTCACCATTATGTGCAACATCTGTGCGATTGCCACCGCTCTGATCAACGTCTGCACTAACGGCACCGCTCTCCGCAGAGCTCGTGCTATTGCCACCATCCTGTGCAACGGAAGCACTACTACCACCACCCTGTGCAAAATTTCTGCTGTCGGTACCGCTCTGTGCAATGCCTGTTCCGTTGCCACCGACCTTCTTTTGCCCACCCCACTTCTTCAACCTGGGGGAACCAATAGGGCACCGATACCGCTACTCCCTGGGCCTCTCATGGGGCGCATTCTGACGAGAAATCCGAGACGAATCCAGTGGTGGCGGAGACGGCCTCCCAGGAGGCTCAACAAGGTGAAATCACGAGACAGCTCGCCGCTTGGGCCCCATCGCCAGCCCAAACGGCGAGCATACATCGGGCGTAGCCCCGCACGCATTCGAACGCCCACACTTCGTCCTCGTACTACGCGTATTCCTCCCCGTCCTCCTCTCCATCCTGATCGTCGTCGTCGTGAGTCGTCGTTCTCCTCGTCCTCAACCTCATCCTCCTCGTCTTCCTCCTGCTCCAGCTCCTCCTCGTCCTCGTCTGAAACCTTGTCCTCGCTTATCCTATTCCTCCTCCTGCTCATCCTCCTTATTCTGGTACCTAGGTTGCGCCATAGGTTGCGCCATCGGTTGCGCCCTTGGCGGCCGAACATAAAACCGTCTCCCATCGGATGCGGCACAAAATGCGCCCTCGATGGCCGAACAATAAAACCGTCTCCTATCGGTTGCGGCATAGGCTGCGCCCGCGGCGGCCGAGAAGACCACCGTCTCCGATCGGTTGCGCCGTAGGTTGCGCCCTCGGAGGCCGAGGTTAAAACCGTCCCCTATCTGTTGCGCCATGGGTTGCGCCCTCGGCAGTCGAGATAAAACCGTCTCCTATCGATTTCGCCATACGTTGCGCCTTCGGCGGCCGAGAAGACAACCGTCTCCGATCGGTTGCACCATAAATTGCACCCTCGCAGCCGAGAAGAGAACCGTCTCGCCCTCGGAGCCGGAGAAGAAGTCCGCCTCCTATCGGTTGCACCATAGGTTGCGCCCTCGGCGGCCGAGAATAAAACAGTCTCCGATCGGTTGCGCCATAAGTTGCGCCCTCGGCGGCCGAGTAGAAAACCGTCTCCAATCGGTTGCGCCATAAGTTGCGCCCTCGGCGGCCGAGAAGAAAACCGTCTCCTATCGGTTGCGCCATGGGTTGCGCCCTTGGCGTCCGAGACTAAAACCGTCGCGTAACGGGTGCGACCAGTCCGTTCAGTTCAGTTCACCTCACGAGAACCCCACTCGGGCTGCGCCCGAACAAAAACGAGGCACGGGAAGCGGCATCGGTACCAGTTCCTCCTCTGAGAACCAGCCAAACCAGCCACCACCTCCGCCTGCAGTCGCGGACGTCACTGGTGCAGCCGGTGCTGCGCTGGCGCTGCTGCCACGGCTCTGCGCCTCAGCCGTGATGTTGCCACCGCTTGGTGCGGCGGGCTCCTCCGCGGCGGGATCCGTCTCCGCCACTGCCGCCCTCGGCACCCTGAGCGCTTCGACCTCCGCCCGCAAGCGCGCGTTCTCCTGCAAGAGGTCCTCGGTGAGGGCCTTGCTCGGCATCGGCTCTGTGCTGTTTCCTTTCGGCGGTGAGCCCCGGGGGAAGTGTGAAGTCAGGTGTGTCCTCCTACAGGCGGATTTTGGACGACAAAATAAAAATAATCAAAACATATCTTAACAAATAATCAAAAGAACGTCCACAGACTATTTTTCATTTGTTTGATATTCCTCCTGTAAAGGAACATGCCCGACTTAAGGGAAGTGTGAAGGGGTGGGCCATCTTGAAGCCCAAAAGGGCCTCTGGCCTTGTGAGAAGCTTCCCAGGTCTTGCCCGAAGACAGGGAACACTTCTCAGAAGGCTGGCGGGCTTCTGAGAAGCCGCGCCACCTTCTGAGAAGGCCTGCTCCTTCTCAATTCCCCCGGGCGCGCCGCCGATCCTTGGGCCAATCCATCGCTGCCGCCAGTTGGCACTGCGGTCGCTGATGCCTTGAGTGTGACGTTTGTGATGTCGCCACCGCTCCGCTCAACGCCTGTATCGTTGTCGCCGATTAAGGTCGTAACATTGGTGCTGTTGTAACCGCTGTCGCTGCGGTTGTCCTCAACCCAATGTGGCCAGCGTAACTTGCTATTGGCATCACCCTTACCACCCAATGCGTTCAACCAACCAGGCCACTTGAAGTCGTCGCTTAGCTGTGCAGCGTCGGCGCTGACGAGTACGGAGGCTGCCAGTGTGAGATAGCCAACATGACGCATCGAGAATGAGTGACAAAGTAAATGTGGACGAGGACACAAGAAAGAAATCCGCCCCGCTCTTGCAGAGTGTTGAGCCTTCCAGGCCAGATCCGCCGGCCCTGTCGTTGTGGGTGGTCGTCCCCATGCGGCCTTGGGAGGCTTCCCCCCCCCGCCCCGCGCGGACACCCTGGGGTTCTACATAAGCTCGCACATACGAGGTGGATCGACCCAGGTGACCCATCGGTCGGAAGAACTAGGTAGAAACATGGAGGAGGAAGGCGTTAAGAGAGGATTGGGTCTCCGTCCGCCCCTTTGGGAGCACAGAAAAGGTGAAGCCGCTCGATCACTGAAATAGGAAGGCGCTTGAAGTGGATTGGAACCTGGGAATCGGGAAATACCTACTTTCAACGACCGATGGGTATACCTGAATCACCGGGCATCCGCCTTCCCTCCGCCCGCTCCCCCACCGAAGAGGATGGGGGGGCTCCAGGAGGAGGGCTCGCAGAGGGAGGCGTGCCTCCCCGCCCGTCACACCTCCCTGCGGTGGCTTGGGCCCTGCCGCGCCGACAGGTACCGGGAGCTCTTGAGACCTCCGCCTGTGAGCGGCGCAGGGCTGGTCAGTACTGGAGTGGGGGAGGACTGCATTTCGACATTCTCATTTCGGCGCTTCCTTATTCGGTAGTAGCGCGCGCGCGGCGCCTCCTCCTCATCTTCCTCCTCCTCCTCCTCCACCTACATATTTCGACATTCCTTGTGAACGTGTTCCAATTCGGTATTTCGACATTGGCCGGGTAGGGGGGGGGAGGGGGTGGTCTGGCTCTGGAACTCTGCTGAGTGCGGCTGTTTGGAACAGTGCGCCCCAGTGGGGAGACCCCACCTGCTCGAAACAGGAGCCAAAAAACACCCGAGATCTACTCCATAGTGGAGGGGAGGGGGAGGGGGGCGAGGGACCGCGCCGATCGACACAATGAATAAGAAAACTACCTTCAGGTGCTGCAAACCTTGTAAAAACTTAAGCTATCAAGGTGTGAATGCCGCAGGGCAGGTGGGAAGAAGGTTGGGGGACACCCTATAGGTATCAATATGCATATACATGTATATCTATATATATATATATATGTAACAACATGCATACATACATACATGCATGCATACATGCATGCATGCGTGTGTATATATATATATATATATATATATATATATATATATATTTATTCGCCGGCCCAACGGGCCAGGGCGTGCTAAGATCTCCGGTACCTGGTTAACAGTATTTCTAGTTCGCGCGCGCGGGGCGGCCCCTGGGGGTCCCCGGACGAAAAGTACCCCGGCAAGGTCCCGGCAAGGTCGGGCCAGAGATGCCGGAGCCCTGTTACAGGGCCCCAGGACGGGCCAAGAGGTCCCCAAGAAGCCTCCAAGACGGTCCAAGAGGGCCCCGAGACGGCCAAAGATCGCCCGAAGACGCCCAACAGGGCCCCAAGACAGCCCAAGAGGCCTCCAAGACGCCCCAAGGGCCTTCCAAGAGGCCTCCGAAGAGGGCCCCAAGAGGCCAAAATCGTTGATTTTCATTGTTTTTTTCGATGTTTTTTGCGTTCTGGCTTTTTCGGCTTCCGGACGCTCCAAGACGGCCCAAGAGGCCCCCAAGACCGCTCCAAGACGGCCCACGAGGCTCCCAAGACGGCCCCGGAACGGCCCAGGAGGGCCCCCAAGACGGCCCAAGTGCCGCCCAAGACGGACCAAGAGGCCCCAAGACGGGCCCAAGAGGGGCTCAAGAGGGGAACCGAGAACTGAAAAATCGAGCCCTCCGCCCCAGAAGGCGCCCAGGAGGCCCCAAAAAGGCCCCAAGAGGCCCCCAAGAGGCCCCCAAGACGCCCCAAGAGGCGCCCAAGAGGCCCAAAAGAGGCCCCAAGAGGCCCCAAAACGGCCCCCAAGAGGCCCCAAAACTCGGCTAGCCCACAACGGTGCGACAATATGGGCCGGCGGAATGAGCGAAGCGATTAATCTATATATATATATATGTACAGATGTGTATATCTAGATATCTGTATATATACATATATATATATATATATAGAGAGAGAGAGAGAGAGAGAGAGAGAGAGAGCCACGAAGCGTGTTAGAGGTGGCCGAAACGGGCGGGGCGCCGCCTGGCGGGCGCTGCAATTTGGGCCTCTGGAGCTCTCTGCGGGGCTGCGAAACGCGCGAGGGGCGCGCCGAATTTGAAGCGGCGGGGCCATGCGCGCGCTGCCGTCTGAGCCTTCGGTGGACTCCCCTGCGGGGCCACGAAGCGTGTGGGGAGTGTGCCGAAATGGGGCGGTGACGCCATGCGGGCGCTGCCACTCGGGCTCTCGGTGGAGGGAGGAGGGGGAGGCCGGAGGCGAGGAACGCCGGGCGCTCTCTCAAAAACGAGGGCCCATCACAATAGAATGGTTTGGGCAATGAAAATGAGAAGAACGGCACATGCCCAGTCCATCGCTGCGCGCGCAATGTAATTCGGGTGATGTTGGAACCAATGCGGCCACGGGCCACCTAGGCCCACGACAGCCCTCTGGGGGCAAACTTCGCAAAGATCAGGCAGGACTCTCGCGGGCCGCTGGGGGCACAGGTTCTGGCGTGATCCGAACGCAGAGTTCTTAGATCCGCGCTGGAGCCCCGCGGCGGCGCCCGCGAGACCGCCCCCGGCGCGCTCCGAGCTGCGGGGAGGGGGGTGCAGCGCAGATCCTAGAAATCCACGCGAACCTCCGAAAGTGGAAGCTTGTGTCAGAACTTGCTCCTCGACAAGTGCCACCCGAAAAGGCCTCCCAAGAGGTGCACAGGAGGCCCACAAGATGGCCCCAAGAGGGACTCAAAACGACACCAGTGTTGCACTGCTGAAAGCCAAACCTCCATCGTGATCCCAACACACCCAAGATGCCGACAAGAGGCCCCTAAGACGCACCCACGTGTCTAAGCAACTGTGGACCCTCTCGGATAATAGCAGCCGTTGCCGACAGTGTCGGGAGGCGATACTGGAGAGGGGATGGACTCTTGGCGAACTGCGAAGGGCTTCTTGGAAACCCGGCGGACTTGCACATTGGGGGTCCACCAGAGCAAAATGAGACCCTCCTGCTGTCAGCGTCTTGGAGGCCTTTCGGAAGCTCTGTGGCCCTCATGGGGCCTGTGAGGCGCCCAGGACGCTGGGCCCTGTTGGCATGCTCAGGAGCTGGATGGTGTTGGAGCCCTCTTGGGGTCATCTTGGGCGAGTCTGAGGTCGAATTGAGACCCTCCTGAGCCTATCTTGCGGCTCTCTTGGGGCCCTCTGTCGGTCTCAAGAGACCTTGCAGAGCAAACAGGTGACGAGAAAACTATGCCACATCAGTGGTTAATGGATTTTGCCTGTCAGCGGCCCTCTTGGCGGCATATTGGGCTGACCTGGAAGGTGCATTGGCGCAAATTCTAGTGTATTGGCTGCTGCCTTGGCGCATATTCTAATGTATTGGCTGCTCTGGTCGTGTCTTGTCCTGTCTTATCTCGTCTGGCCGTCTGCGGCCGACTTGGCGACATCTTGGGCCGGCTCAGCGACCACCCCACGCCCGGTTTGTGGCTTGCCCTGCTAGGGAGTCCATCCCGAAACACACACACACACACACATTCACACACACACACACAAACACACACACGCAACCGCCCAGCCGAGCCTCCTGGGGGGCTTCTGGTGCCCGCTTGTGTGCCTCTTGGGCACATGGAGGGCGTCCAAATTGCGTTTGCGTTGTGCAACATGCTTGGAGCGGCTTGAGGCTCTCGAGGACCTCTTTTGCAGCCATCTTGGTGGCCTCTGAGCCGTTGTAAGCCCCTCGTGGGCCAACCTCGGGACTCCCAGAATCATTGATTTTCCCCACATGCTTGAAAAAAGGTTGCCCTCTCCGGGGCCTTTGGTGGGCCCCGGAAACAGAAGGTTTTCGAACACCGTTTCGAAAACATATCTTTTGAACATGCAACAAACATCTCCCTTGAACGTGGAAACGGTGAAAAGCGGCAGCCAGAAAAAGCAAGCAAAAACGGCTCCGGAATTGGAGCCCAAACCGGAACTGGCAAACAATAACGGCGACGGAACCAAGAGAAACGGCGCCGGATCCGGCAACAAAGCCGGCAACACAGAGCCAGTAACAAAACAGGCCCTGCCCTTTCCAGGGGCCACGGAGGTCTGGGCGGGACTTGACGGGTGAGGTTTCGTCTTGTCACGCCTCGTTTATCCCTGCCTGGTCTCGGCTTCTCTGCTCGACTTGTCCCGACTTTCGGTTTAGGTGAAGCATGTCCTCCTACCGCTGGCCCCCTTGTGGGACCATCTGGCTGCGAGGATTAGGCTTGCTGCTCCCTGCGCCAGTTGCAGCTTCAAGTCTCTAGTGTCACAATCCTGCTTTCTGCTTCCTATTGCAAATTTCTGGAGTCCGCGCGAGGGGGGGGGGGAGCCGAAAAGGGCCCGGTTACCATGCTCTGAATCCCTGCGGGGCTGTGGGACACGTTGAAATACACGAGCTTCGCGCTCCCAGCGCAATAATTCCTCGTGAATCACGCATCGTTCGACCCCCCGAGGCCACGGTCCATCGAAAATTGGCATTCGCGACCCCGAGGCCACGAGGTATCGCCAAACTTTCCACGCTCGCGCCCCCGAGGTCACGATCACTTGTAAATTACGCCACGTTCGCGCCCCCGAGGCCACGATCCTCCATGAGGTCATCCACGTTCGCGCCCCCGAGGCCACGATCTGTCGTAAATTGCACCGTAGTCGCGCCCCCGAGATACCCCGTAAATTACACCACCATTGCGCCCCCGAGGCCACGATCCCGTGGAAATTATATAATGTTCGCGTCCCCGAGGCCAGAAACCCTTGCAAATTTGTCAATGTTTGCGTCGCCGAGGTAACAAACCTGAGCAAAATTATACAATACTCGTGTTTCGCCCCCAACGCAACACACCTTCGTGAAGTACTCAAGTTCTGCGTTCCCGAATCGAGAACACCTTGTAAATTACACAAGATTCGCGCA